TGCACTCCGAGCGCTTGCTGCGCCCCGCCCCGGTTCTTGATGCTTCTTTTCTTCTTCTTTTTTTTTTTTTTTTTTTGGTTTTGAGATGGTCCCTATGCAGCCCAGGCACCAAGGGGACGTCGGGGGTCGCGGACGGAGGGACGCGCCTGCCCCGGGTCCAGGTCCTCAGAAGTCCGGCGCTGAGCGGCTGGCGCCGTGTCCGCCGTTGCACCCCCGCTGCCAGCCCGCTGCCCGCCCACAGGGACCGGGGGACACCGGACACGCGGCCGGCTGCGCGGGTAGGACCCATGCGCACGGAGCTCGAGCGAGCACCGTTATCCTCCTGGAATCCCGTGGTAAACGTGGGTTCGAATCGGGCTTCCCCGGCGCCGAGACGCGCGCCAGCCTGGAGACGGGTACACCACCCCGGCATGGGGGAACCTCCGGGAAAACGTGCCGCTCGGCCGGGCACTCTTGGCCCTGCCTTTGACAGCCAGAGAGGTCCGGATGAGCGGAGGAGCAGCTGGTGAACAAGGACTGGGAGAGCGCGGGAGTACCCACGCCCGACGACTCGGAGGTCGAGCTGACTGGGGACGCAGGAGCCGTAGCCGTTCGGGAGCTGGACACCAGGAGGACCTTGTGCAACATCCAGGGAGCCGCCCTGGAGGCCATTCCTCCCCTAACCGTGCAGGCTGCGGTGGAGGAGGGAGTGGGGCTCCGGAGAGGCCTGCACCGAGACTTCATGGATTACATGGGTGCCCAGTATTCAGATTCTGAAGAACCGCCTTCATGGAGAAGGTGCGTGTCCAGGTTACCTGCCTGGGACACCTCGCACCTGATGGAGCTGAGACTGACTAGGGGCCGAGGACTCATCCACGTGTTCCCCCGCCTGTGCTGACGGTTGGGGAGAGGAAGCTAACTGGTTGCAGGGTCCCAATGCACTGGGAGGCCGGAGAGAACACCCCTCAGCTTTCTTAGAGGAGAGGCACTGATAAAGCATGCTTCCCTGGATCCCAGTGCAGTAGAGGGACACACCATTCTTGAGGAGGGGTTTGTTACTCAGTCAGCCCCTGAGAGGGAAGGGGGCTGCGGAGGACGCTTTTGTCCTGGATGGCTGGCTTGAGATGCTGGTGGGAGTGGCCTCCTCAGTGTTTGGGACCCTGGCTACGGGGAGGCCAAGGGCAGAGGGCAGAGAGAGGAGAGGGGACGGCTGCCTCTGCTGCAGCAGTGGGAGAGGCAGACCCTGGGTCTGGTTCTCGGGGCCCCGGGAGGGGTGGTGCTCATCCAGTGCATTTGTCTGCTGCCGCTGTCGGGGCCAGGCCACCTCGGGAGGGACTGCCCTGGGAGGCCCCTGGGCCATGCCCTGACTGTGGGGGTGGCCACTGGAGGTCAGGCTGCCCTCTGGAGCAGGGGCCTCAGGGCTCAGACCCCTCCTACCAGCTGGTCCGGCAGGAATGAAGGGACCCAGGGCATCCTCTGCCTTCTCCCTCTGGCTGGACCATTGTCTCCAAGGATGAGCCCCGGGAAATCATGACTGTAGAGGAAAAAGTGGACAGCCCGTCGCTGGACACTGGTGCTGGTTTCTCGGTCCTTCTTTCCAGTCCTGGCCTTCCTTCTAGCCATTAGACCTCAGTGAGGGGAGTCACTGCTGAGGAGGTAATCTGCTATTTTTTGCAACCCTGGGGCTGTAACTTCGTGTTGGATCTTTCTTGCTATCTTTGTTTTCCTGAGAAGCCACTTTGAGGATGCCAACATGTACTGCAGCAGCCGTTGATGATTTCCTCCCAATCTGCCCATAACTCTGTAATGTTCGTATTGTTCCTATGCTATTTCATAAATGGATGTATGTTTGTTACTATGTGTTATCAACAACCATCAAGAATAATCAATGATTATTTGATTGATCACTCATGTATAGCTCTATTTGTTTTCTTTCCCTAGAGACCACTCTGGAGAATCCAAGCTATAGTGTAACTACCATTGACAATTTCCTGCCATTTTTGTCTATAATTCACTATTATTTGTCTATTTGTTTTCCTGAGAAATATCTTGAAGATACCAATAGGTAAAATAACAGCCATTGATAATGTCCTACCACTTTGTCTATAATTAGGGGGATTCACCGATTGCTACGTTGTCCTTCTTTTACTCTTTAAAATAAAATAAAATTTTTTTAAAAATGGGCTTCCCTCACCGCCAAGCTATGGTCGGGACTTGGCTTCTGTCCTTGTGTGTGGCACATGGTCAGGGTGCGGTCACCAGGCCGGTCAGCGAAGACCTGAGCCGGCCACAGGACACAGCGCCTGGACCCCGCCAGCAGATCGCCTCATTCACAGCCCAGCTCTTTCCTTCCCAGGAGCTGCGGGGTGAGCTTCTCCCTCAGGGCAGCCACCTGTAAAGGCAGCATAACAAGTTACTGCCTCCAGGGGTGGTTAGTTAAAGTGGACTCTGGGAGGCAGAGGCAGGAAGATTGCAAGCGAGAGTCCCACTTAGGCAAACTAGCGACTTCGCAAGACCCTGTCACAGAATTAAACTAAATAAACAAAAAGAGGCTGGGAGTGTAGCTCGTTGTGAAGGCCCTGGGTTTGATCCCTAGTATCACAAGAAATACAAAAAGTCTGCCAAGCCTGAGGCCGCGGGGCAGGGTCGTGTGCCTTTCCCCGGGCTGGGATCACAGGTATGCGCCACCGTGACTGTCAGAATGGTCACTGCTACCTAGATCTCTGCAGCCTCCGGAAGACCTTTGCTGCTGCTGCTTAGGAAATCTGACTCTAGCTTCACCACTCTTCCACCTCGGGCTGTTTATAAGGAGAAATCAGAGTCACACTGGGTGTGGTGGCACATGCCTGTATCTCAGCACTCGGGAGGCTGAGGCAGGAGGATTGCTGAGTTCATGCCAGCCTGGGCTACGTAGTTCAAGGCCAGCCTGACTGAACTACATAGCTAGGCCCTGTCTCAAAAAAATCAAGTCCCTGAACACCAGCGAGTGCTCTGGTGTGGGCAGCACAGCAGGGGCTGGAAGACCAGGCCCCTCCACCTGCGCGGGTAGGCAACATCCTCCTGCCACTGTTACCTGTACTTTAATCAGCGCTCTGGAGCAGCGTGCTTGTGGAAAGCCCCTCACTCAGGGGACTCAGCACCCTGTTAATCACTCCTGTCAGGCTCAGCTACAGACCCAGCAAGCACCCCGCTGGGCCTCCTGAGGAATCCCAGAGCCTGAGGCTGTTTCACTGTGCAGTTCAGGCTGGTTTGGAACTCACTGTGTACCTCAGGCTGGCCTCAGACTCACGGCAATCCTCCTGCCTCAGCCTCCCGAGTGCCAGGATCACAGGTGTGCCCACCACGCCTGGCCCTATCTGACTTAGCTGTGTACCTTTTGCTTTTCCTGACGTCGGCCCCGCTTTTCTGTCTGTGCTGTTTTAGTTTCTGCTGGCACAGGTCTGGCCTCGGCACGTTTCTCTGTGATCTCCTGTAAATGCAGCTGCTTTTCCTACACGGCTGGATCTACAGTTCTTCGCCCGGGTGCACAACAGCCTGGAGTCTGTCAGACCCCCTGCCCCCCGTATCACTTTCATATGGCCACGGCCAGGAATTGAGACACTGGTCCGAAGACAGCCTGGACCCACCCGACAAGGGAAGGCACGAGGCCCGGCACCTCGGCACAGGGCAGCGCCAGGTTCCACCTTGCTGCTCACAATGGCGTGCAGTTTCAAACTGCAAGTTTCAGTGGGGTGCGGCTCAGTGTTGGAGCACTGTCCTAGCAGGGACGGGTTCAGGGTTCGACCCCCATCCCCGTAAGCAAACTTGCCCAAGATGACAATGGGAGTAGATAGTAGTGTTGCGATTTCAACTCGGGTCTGTCAGCTCCCGAACTCTGCGCTCTGCAGCCCGTTCCGTACAGGCAGAGGCCCGTCACTGTGGTGGACGGCCCAGCCTGGCCTCAGCTGAGAGCTTGCAGCAAATGCAGAATCCGGGCCCGCCCCGACCTGCAGGGTCAGTCTGCGGTTGCAGAAAGTACTTAATGAGATGGCTCTGGGGGTGTTTTGGTGGTGGTGGTGTTTTTGTCTGTTTTAGAAACAGGGTCTTGCTATGTAGTCCAGGCTGGCCCCCCTTTGGATGTGCTTTTCCAAGCCCCTAAAGCGGAAGTCACGGTCACAGCAGCCACACAGGTGCAAGGTCTGAGGTTTCCAGGTGGGTCAGGAGGGCCTGCCGGAGCCCTCACACCCAGCAAGAGGGTTCCTGTTTTGAGATACGGGGATTGAGCTGAGCCCTCCCATGCAGCTGTCTTCCCAGCCCTTTTTATTTTTATGCCAGGGTCTCAAAGTTGCTAAATTGCCACGGCTGGACTTCAACTCGTGATCCTTTTGCCTCAGCCTCCCAGAGTGTTTGCCACCACCACTAGCTAAGGCAAAAGTCTTTTTTTGTCTTTTTCTGAGACTGGGTCTCGCTATGCAGTTCAGGATGGCCTAGGGCTCACTTTGTAGCCCAGGCTGGCCTCCAGCTGAAAACAATCCTCCTGCCTCAGCCTCCTGAGTGCTGGGATTTCAGGTGTGCACTACCACACCCAGCTTAAGGCAATGGTCTTAAAAGTTGGTTTAGGACCAGGGAAGGACAGAACCCACTGAGTGGACCCAGCACTTTAGTCATTCTCTACAAGTTTACTGTGACAGGCCCAACAGACAAGACAACAGAAAAAGACTTCACCGTGAGCACCGTGGAACACGACCTCTCCACCTGCCCTGCCCTCCTGCCCAGCGCCTCGACCCCCCAACAAGCTGCGTTCCACTTGGTATTTCCTGTTCTCCAGCCTCTCTCTGTCACGGTCCTGGGGAACTGAACCCTGGCACTCTACCACTGAGCTACAGCTCCACTCCTTTTTAACTTTGGAGATAGGGTCTTGCTAAGTTTCTTAGGCTGGCTCTGAACTTCCAATCCTCCTGCCTAGGCCTCCCAAGCAGCTGGGATTACAGGTGCGCACCACAGCACCTGGCTGTTTTTTAAGCAAAGAGGAAACTTTAGGCTAGAAGAGAAAACAAATTGATTCAGATTTATTAAAACCACTGGCACTCTTTCTGCCAGCTGGACGACTGCTAAAAGTGGCACCGGGTAGACTAAGTGGAGAGAGAGCGTAAACGCAGCGCGGCTTCCACTGAGCACAAAGAGAAGGAGCCCAGCTGCACGAGAGCTCAGCGGACTGCGAGCCCCGCCAGGCCCCAGGCCGCTGCGGCTCCACGGTGGTCCCCATTATCTGCTCAGTTCCTGGGCGTCCGGAGGGCGAGGGCGAGGGGGCGCTGTGACCTCACCAGTCACCTACACTTGGCTGGAGACGGAGGGGGTGGAGTGCTGTGGCCAGGAATGTCCGGCCGTGGGGTCCGAGGGCGGCGCTGTCATGCGTTGTACGAGGATGAGGACACGCTCCCGCCGTGGCCCGTCCAGTTGGTGTGGATAAACTGGCCCGGCTTGGCCAAGAGTTCGTAGGTGTGGGCCCCGAAGTAGTCTCGCTGTGCCTGTGACAGATGTGACAGTCGGGACAACATAAAAAGAACGTCACCATGACCCCTCCACACGCCCACCTCCTGCCCAGCGCCCCGGTGAACGCGAGAGAAGGCTGGAAACACGCGGGCGGGCGAGGGCGGCGGGCCGGGCCGGCCTGGCTCACCTGGAGGAGGTTGGCGGGCAGCATCTCGTGTCGGTAGCCGTCGTAGAAGGCCAGGGCGGTGGTGAAGCAGGGCATGGGGATGCCCGCCTGGACCCCAGTGGTAACCGTGCGCCGCCATGCATCCTGCATGCCAAGGCAGAGCCAGGGTGAGCGGCTCCGGCTCCAGCTCCAGCACGGAGCCACCTCCTGTCCCGCCTGCCGCCCCTTGTGTCCCCCGCATACCTGGCAGTTCTCCACGGCCGACCTGAAGAAGTCATCAAGCAGCAGGTTCTGGAGGTCGGGGTTGCGGTCGAAGGCGTCCTTTATCTTTCCCAGGAACACACTGGAAGGCACAGGGAGGGGTCAGTGGCCTTCACCCCGGCAGGCCCAGTGCAGGGCAGAAAACGGGGCTGCCCCAGAGAGGGCAAGGGTGCGCCCGTCCCCCTGCCTGGGAGCTGGCGGGTGGCTCCGTGACGGTGTGGAGCGGGCAGTCTTGAGAAAGTGACACAGGGTGTGACCGTCCTCATAGGGCCACTGTATCTTTTTATTTTTTTGAACTGGGATTCAAGCTCAGGACCTCGAGCTTGCCAGGCAGGCACCGTGCCGCTGAGCTATATTCTCCGCCCCCACAGAGCCACTTTAAAAGTGTCACCGAGACACTCAAGTCAGGGCAGCGACCTCAGCACGCCTGCGGGACGGCTTCGGGAGCCCGGAGCCCAGCTGCGCACACGGCCCCCTGCACCCCGTCCTCCCTGGCTCCCCAGCTGCGATACCCCACACGGAGAAGGTAAGGACAGGAAGAGCCCCACGTGTGCCATGCAGTCTGGGCGCTGGTGATTTTTGCAAAGATTTCCAGTCTGAAATTGGGTGAACCTGCAGGCAGGGAAGCCACGGACACAGAGCGCCGACCGCACAGGACACAGGTGCAGGGACCGCGCGACCCGGTGACTGGTGGCCGGGGGGCATGCAGTGCAGCTGGGCACGCCGGTGGCGGTGGCGTGGCCCTCACTCACCTGCGGATGATGCAGCCCCCTCGCCACATCAGGGCGATGCCGCCGTAGTTGAGGGTCCAGCCGAACTCGGAGGCCGCCTGCCTGAGCAGCATGAAGCCCTGCGCGTACGAGATGATCTTGGAGGCGTAGAGGGCCTAGGGTGACAGCGACACCGGGACTCAGGAGGCTGCAGCTGCCCCGCGGCGCCTCCACCTGCCCACCCAGCCCTGTTGCAGCAGGGAGAGGGAACCGAGGTGCGGAGAGGAGGTGGAGACAAGTGGGGCGCCCCACCTCTCGGATGTCCGCCAGGAAGGACTTCTTGTCGCCCGCGAACTGGGTCTTCGGGGGGCCTTTCAGCCTCTTGCTAGCTTGGACCCTCTCATCCTTCAGCGACGACAAGCACCGAGCGAAGACAGCTTCTCCTGCGCGGGGGAAGCGAGGGAGCAGGTGGTGGGACGCCGAGCCCCCCAGAACCCAGAAAGAGGGGCGCGCACGGCAGCACCAAGGTCCAGAGGCGCAGGACATGCGATCACTGAGGACAGCGCGAAGCTTCAACCTCAGGTGCAAACTTAACCTTCAGCAAAACACGGGACGTAAACTACGCAGGTGATGTGCTAAATTCAACTCAGAATTCAAAGGGGCGTTTTCAGGAAAAGTGAAGAAATAAGGTAACTATTGAGAATTACTCAGTATTGGCCATGAATTAAAATTTCAGTTTCAATTTAGAAGACTTTCACTATTTGCTAGTTTCTGGGGTTTTCTGTTTGTTTGTTTTGAGTCTTGCTTTGTAGTTCAGGCTGGCCTTAAAATCACGGTGATCTTCCTCCCTCAGCCTCATAAGTGCTGGGACTACAGGTGTGGTATACCCCACCTAGCTCGATTTTCATTTTATTTTCAGTACTGGGGACTGCGACCAGGGAGCCCTGGACTACATTCCCACCCTTTTTACTGAGAAAGGAATCACTGATCAACTAATCGCTACTCAACTGATCAACTCACCAAGTTACCCAGGTTGGCCTCCAACTTACAATGCTCCTGTTTCAGCCTCCTGAGTGGCTGGGATTACAGATCACACCACCACCCCAGGCTGAACCGAAGTCTTGCTATGCAGATCAGGCTGGCCTTGAACTCATTCTGTAACCCAGGCTGTCCTTGAACTTGTGATGATCCTCCTGCCTCAGCCTCCTGAGTGTCACGATTACAGGTATGCACCACCACCACCACTGGTTTAACAATTTATATAATTTGAACAAATTGATTTTTTTTTCTTTTTTCCGTCCACAGACAAAATGGACTGAAACCTGGGAACTCACCAAAGCCTGGCAGAGAGGATTCAGGCCAGGAACTGGGGAAGATGAGCAGAGCTGCAAGCATCCCAAGCAGACTCCTGCCTCCCCACCCAGCCGCTGTTCCCGGATGACTCAGCAGGAGGGGAAGGAAGCCCCACACACAACACTGCTGCAACACACAAGGCTGCAACAGAATGTGGCAAGCCCTCCGAGTTGCCTAAGGCAAACGAGGCGGAAGGCGACTTCAACTTCCCCCGGCGAGAGTACAACAGCAGCCTGTGCTGCACGGGGGCAAGGGACGAAGTCTCCACAGCAAGAAGAGGGCTCTGCGGGGACAGCGCCACCCTCGCAACACCTCAGTCCTCAAGAATAGATGCTCACACCCTTGCCACTCAGGTCAGCTAAGGCGGGGCCTCTCAGCCTGCTCCCGCTTCCCAGCCTTTCTGCGAAGGCCGAGGCCAGGCCGACTAGTCAGCGCGGTGGCGCACACCTCTGATCCCAGCCCTTGAGGCTGAAGCAGGAGGATCCCAGCCCAGCCTGGGCTCCACAGTGAGTTCCAGGCCAGCCTGCACTAGAAAGCAGCAACAGGTCACTGACTAGAACTCAGTGAGGAACGCTACAACACTCCAGAATGGAAACCGAATGGGAAGGCAGTAAGCTCTGCAGGCCCCACGAAGCCTGTGGGAAAGAGGGTTATAAAGAGGAGATGCCCAGCGGGGCGCGTTCCTTCCCCGCAGACACCTGAAACCGGCCCGGTCAGACGACGGCCTGTGGCCCGCTTCAGATCAGCACTCCAGAGGGGCTCAAGGTCAAACAGGGGACCAGGACAGTACCGATGAGGGTGACGGGGACACCGTACTCCAGGGCGGAGATAGCCGTCCACTTCCCAGTGCCCTTCTGCCCCGCACTGTCCCTGATCTTGGGCAGCAGCTGCTTGCCATCGCTGTCTTTGAACTTGAGGATATTGGCGGTGATCTCAATCAGGAACGAGTCCAGCTCAGTCTTATTCCATTCCTCGAACACCTACGGGGTCAGAGGGACAAAGCAACGTGAGGGTCGGGGGCTTCCATAGGGCGCGCTCCTTCCCGGGTCTCCTGCCCGGGCTGTCCCCGTCCCCGCGGAGTGACCAGGAGGCACAGCCTCCCGTGCACCTGCTGGGCTGGGAGCTCGGGGTAGGGGGCGAGCCTGCCTGGTGCCAGCGTGGGGCTGGGGTGGTACAGCCACAGCACAAGTGAAACCACCGTCTCTCCCACTTCCGTTTCCTCAGGACAGGCCCCGCTAAGTTTTCTGTATTAGTTACTGTCTGTCTGTCTGTCTGCCGGACCCAGGAAGCCTCAGGACCGCGCCGACCATGGAGAAAGCACTTGCGACTCTTGCTGGAGAGCACACCGAGCGTCCCGTGAACCGAGTAAACCCGAGCACGCACGGAAAAAGTGCAGCAGGAGAAGGGCTGGGGCGCTGGCAGCTCCGTGACAGCGCACCCGCCTGGCACTCGGGCGCCGGCTCCAACCCCGGGCCTTCAACTAAGACAAGTGTTACCTAACGCTGCTGGAGTCCTTCAGGGAAGGCGGCACCCAGAACTGACAGCAGACGGGCAGACAGCGCGGGCAGATGGGCAGTAAGTGCTCTATGATGCTAACGTGCGCTGGGGCGGGGGGCGAAAATGCCAGTGAAATCCCTCTGCTTCCCCCGTGCGCTAACTTCTTAGACGAACTATCAAAAAGCCAGTCCCGCCTGATTAGCAGGGAAGCTCCCGCTTGCTGAGGGCCAGGGGCCGGACACCAGGGGCGCTCACCCGGCAACCATCCCCCTGTGCGCGCTGGGGACTCTGCTCCACGGCCAGCTGTCCTATTTTATGGTCCCATTAATGCTGGCTGCCCCTAAATTAAGCCGCGTCCAAGCAGGCGCCAGATGGCCAAGGCTGGGGAGGAGCATGGGGTCACTGCTGGGGGCGTGGCGCACCTGGGCCATCTCGTCGTGCTCCATGCCCAGCACGTCCTTCATCAGGTGGTACGCCTCGCAGATGAGCTGCATGTCACCGTACTCTATGCCGTTGTGGACCATCTTCACGAAGTGCCCGGCTCCCTCATCTCCCACCTGTTGGGGCGACAAGCACAGGGCCGTCAGCGCGGCAGAGGCGGCTTGTGGCCCACACGGTCCTCGGAAGGCTCCCTTCTGTCTGAGCAAAAAGTAACCCATAGCACGGAGTATTTTCAAACAAAATTCATACGGCAGTGTGGTGCCGGCTTCAATCCTATTTGTGCCCTACGGGTTCCCAGCCTTGCCCCGAGATCGGCGGTCTCAGACTCTCGGTGTCTCCCCAGCACTACCCACAAGTTAAAAAGTCCTCTTCTTCCTACAGGTGCCACTTTTTAAGCAACTGGAAGTTACAATAAATTGGCTCATTAAATCACTTGTCTTTTTCCAGATATAAGTATGGCCTTGCAAGTCCTCCAGTTCCTAATTCCCAAGTCCAAAAATGCATTCTACCCAGGCCCACTGCTGACCAGGACCCGCCTCACACGAGCTAGCTGGATGTAAAACTCCGAACAGTTGCTAAGTTTGTGATGGGCAACTTAGGTCTTGCTATGGAGTTTGGGCTGGCCTGGAACTTGCTTTGTAGCCCAGGCTGGCCTTAAACTCACGGCCATCCTCCTGCCTCAGCCTCCCCAAGTATATAATGGAAAACATAATGAGAGATCTCAGTGGTTACAAGTGTTACTGTAGCCTGTCAAACCAGCACCCGGGAGGCTGAGGCAGGAGGATCTCCATGAGTTCCAGGCCAGCCTAGGCTCTAGCCTGGACTCCATAGCGAGACCCTGTCTTGAAAAACCAGAAAAACAAAACAAAACGTGTTACTCTGAATGACTCACTCTGTCCCCGCAGAGCTACCTGAGAAAGCAAATCACCTACAAACTGTCCACTGGACAGACAGCACAGCACAGAGGTTAAGAGTCAAGTCCTTCATGTGCAGGCTCTGCAGCCACACGGGAGGGCCCCGCTGCCTGTGGCATGCTGGCGGCCAGCAGTGTCTCCTGGGCGTCCCTGCCTCCACAGACGCAGGGGCACTGACAGCAGACTCCGAGTCTGAACTGTTGACCTGGCCCTCCTGATTGTGACACGGCCGTGCAGGACGGTGGCGGCCCGCATCTTGCTTCACCTTCCTGTGCCTAGGGTGTGAGCTCAGCGGCCTTCGTTCTGACGTATCACAGGGCACCGAAGAACAAGCCAGGGTCGCCAGGCTTTCCTGCAGGCACCTGCTGCCCAGGACCCAGAGCCCCTCCCGAGCCCTCCGGACTACAGAGAAGACTGCTCAGCCCTCCTGTCACAGCCTCTGCGCTGTCACAGAGGCCGCGCGCCACACTGACCCTGCAGTAACTAAGTGAGCCGCTGTGGCAGCCCAGAAGGAAGCACCCCTCACGCCTCACCCCCAACCCTGTGCCAGCCCCGCCGATTCACATGAAGTCAGCGGACAGAACAGCTGCCCCGACAGGAAGACCACACAGGACAGAGCATGGAGATCGTGGCCCGCCCCTCAGCTTCCAGGTCAGCGAAGTACGGAGGTTACCTGCCTCAGGGGACCCAGCTCGGCCCTGCCCATCTCCCAGGCTGCTCCTCCCCACCCACCGAAGGCCGCAGTGCAGCACGGGACAGCTGACGCGGGCACGGGACAGAGGTCTGGGGACGGCCAGGCCTCCTGCGTTTCCAGCCCCTGCGCTTCTGCGAGGGTCCAGGCTCTCAACACCCGGATCCCAAGCACAGGGTCAGGGATTCCCGCCCCCACAGCAGAGCCCATCCCACCTCCTCCCCGGCCCAGGGATGTCCTCTAGCAACCAGGAGACGCCGAAGCAGCCCTCACTTCTCCCATCCTGCGTGCTCCTTGCTGTGGAACGCGCCTTTTAGCTGCTTTCAGTATCGCAGCCTCGGAGCTCTGAGCAGCCAGGTCCGCGGGTACTGAGGTGCGTGGGGGTGCGCTCTGGGTATCGGCCGGAGAACTTAGACTGAGGCTAATGTCACAAAGCCAACCACCGGGACCACGGCGGCCCCGCTCAGCCGTGCACTCGTCACTGGGGCAGCCCACGATGCCCACGGCGCGCAGGGCGGCCCGGCACTTACCCAGTCGCAGCAGGGCTCTCCAGTTCCTACTTTCGCGGCGATGCTCTGGAAGATGGTCTTGATGTGCGGCCTGCGGAGGGAGAGGGGTTCGGCTCAGCAGGGGGCGCAACTCACCCACACTCTGAGGCCCCAATGTCCCGCTTCCCAGGGGGAGGCGGGAGAGTTTGTAAGGCGATGGGGTGTCGCTCAGAGGCTGCGACCACCTGCCTCCAACACCAGACCAAAAGGCTGGGCAGAGCCGGACGGGGCGCGCCTGCCTGTAAGGCGGCACTTGGGAGACTGAGGCAGGAGGACTGTGAGTTTGAAGTCGTTCTGGGCTACGGAGCAAGTTCAAGGCTGGGCTGGACCGCACAGCGAGGCCGTCTCAGAAAGCACAAGAGGCTGAGACGCATCGTGAAAGCGGTGGGGATGCAGCTCGGGGTACAGCACACGCGGCTCTGGTTCTAACCCGGGCCAAACACAAACGCCGAAACTTTCCACCGCCTCTCACGCCAGCACTTCCCCGTCCGGCTGCCTCGCCTCTTCCTCTTCTGCAGCCCACGCGAACAGTGGCAAGTTTGGTTTTTTTTTGTCTTTTTGAGACAGGGTCTCGCTATGCAGCTCAGGCTGGCCTTGAGCTCACTTTGTAGCCCAGGCTGGCCTTGAACTCGCAACGATGCTCCTGCCTGCAAGTCTGGTGTTTAACTCCAGTGAGGTACAACTTTCTGCCGAAGTCACAGGCCTCGTCAGACTGCTCTGCTACTCGATTATGAAAGTTATTCTGGGACCACCAGCCAGCAGAGGCAGCGCTGACGGCTTCCTCGGTGCCAGCCCAGGACACCTTGCCCAGCTCCTCCCAGCCTGAGGCCTCCGCTACAGCTTCAGACTGTAACGGAAGGAAGGGAGAGGAGCATGCGCACTCCTCAGAGACCCGCACAACCGTCCGGAGGAAAGCAGCACCCCGGCCCCACGGCAAAGGCGAGGTGCGGGCTGCAGGGTACCCGGGGTACTCACCAAGCCTCTCTGTTCCCGCCTGGCATGAGGGATGGGCCATACCGGGCCCCCTCCTCGCCGCCACTGACGCCGCTCCCCACGAACAAGATGCCTTTAGCCTTGAGGTCCCGACATCGTCTCTGGGGAAGAGAAAACCACGTCAAGATGCTTCTAAAACCCAAATTCCTCCCGCAGAGGGAGGAGGAGCGAGTCGGGCAGAGACACACAGTGGACAGGCCTGGCCCGGGCCCCGCTCACTCCAGGGAGTCCTTCCCATGTGGCAATTAAAAACAACCAGTTTTCCTGGATGTTCGCTGGAACCTTCCCAACCGCCAGAAGGAGCAAAGGCAAAGACCCAACGAATTAAGAGCTGGTTTCATAGGAGCGAGCGTAGTGACTCCGTGTCACTGCGCACCCGGGAGTCTGCGGGACGAACCCGCCCCAGGGCCTGACACCAGCACAGCAGGGTCCCAACCACATGACACCCAGACTCAGCACGAACAGCAGGAGGGCAAGGAAAGCGCACGACCGCAGCCAGCCAGAAAAAGGCCCAGTGACCACCTGCCAGCACTAGGCGACACACAGCCAGGCCCAGGGCAGCGGCCCGCTGGCCCAGGTGGAATACTGAACCCTCCCTCTAAGAGTGTTCTCGCGACCCAGAGGACCGGGACTAAGGGACACATACTGTGGTATCGCGATACTCAGAATTTCCCCCGTCGATGATGATGTCCCCGGTGTCCAACAGTGGGACCTGCAATCAGACACAGGCACCAAAGACAGGATGAACAGAAATTTATCCCAAATATGTACAATCTGAAGGCATGTCATATATAATCAGCAGCAATGCTCACGGGCTACAGTCACATCTTAAAATCAAAAGGCAAGCCAGGCATGGTGGCTAATCACCTTCCTTTCCAGAATGCTGAGTCAGGAGGATCACTACCGCCTGAACTACATAGTGAAACCTTGTTTAAAAAACAAAAAAATAAATAAATAAGATACCCTTGCTAAAGCCTCAAACTGATTGGTATAAAACTAAATAACCAGTTCCTAGGAGCCCCTAAGGGGATATCTTATCATTCATTTTATACAACTATGAAAACTGTTGCATGCCTGGAGGCTGAGGCAGGAGGATTGCAAGTTCAAGGCCAGCCTGGATTACACAGTGAGATCCTATCTCAAAAAAACCAAAAGGAAGCAAGGAAATTGTTGCTTTATGGGAATACTGAAAAAAATCCATCTTTAAATTTGGACACAAGCATTTGTTAGTAACACTAAATATTTATAAATATTACAAAATCAAAACTATACAATCAACTGGGGTCACAAGTTTGAACCCAGCTTGGGTAACTTAGTGACTTAGCAAGGTCCTATCTTAAAACTACAAAAGGAAACTGGGTATGATGGTGCATGCCTATAATCCCAGCACTTCTGAGGCTGAGGCAGGAGGATTGTTGCCAGTTGAAGGCCAGCCTGGGAAAATAGTTCAAGGTCAGCCTGAACTAAGTTACACCTTATCTCAAAAAAAAAGGCGGGGGGCCGGGGGAGCGGGGGACGGCCTAGAGATTTAACTCAGTGCAAAGGCCATGGGTTTAATGCCTAGTACCACAGAAAGAAAAAAAATGCAAGAGGTACAGCTGAGAAGTAGAGCTCACGCTTGGCATGAAGAAGGCCCCAGGTTCAATCTCTAGCACCAACTAAAAACTACAGAACCTGGATATATAGCTTGGCGGAAGAGTTTGTACCTGCCTAGTATGCACACAGCCGTGGGTTTAATCATACGAGGCGAATGCAAGAAAACTTTTGTTTTTGCAGTGCTTGAGGCTGGGTGTGGTGGCGCACACCTGTAATCCCAGCACTCGGGAGGCTGAGGCAGGAGGATCATTGCAAGTTCAAGACCAGCCTGGGCTACAAAGTGAGCTCAAGGCCAGCCTGAACTGCATAGCAAGACCCTGTCTCAAAAAGATAAAAGAACAAAAGAAAAAAACCACCAAAAAAATGCAGTGCTTGGGACTGAACCCAAAGCCCCTGAGCTACATCCCAGCGCCGCACCCCTCTGTTTGTTTGTTTGTTTTTTTTTTGGTCTTTTTGAGACAGGATCTCGCTATGCAGTTTGGGCTGGCCTGGAACTCTTTCTTTCTTTCTTTCTTTTTTTTTTTTTTGTCTTTTTAAGACAGGGTCTTGCTATGCAGTTCAGGCTGGCTTTGAGCTCACTTTGTAACCCAGGTTGGTCTTGAACTCACAATGCCCCTGCCTCAGCCTCCCGAGTGCTGGGATTACAGGCGTGCGCCACCACGCCCCACCCAGCCCTTTTTTCATTTTTTTGAGACACCCAGTCTTGCTAAATCCCCCATGTCCCTAGGAGGGCTTGAACTTATGATTCTCCTGCCTCAGCCTCCCAGAGTGCTTGGATTACCGGGTATGTGCCACCACACCAGACCTAACTGCACAATCTCTTTGAATAACAAAGACAGAGAACCCATCCATAGATTAGTGTAGTTCTAATTCTTACTGCTAATACACTCTTAGTGCGACGTCTTTGTGTCCTGCAGCTACTGCCACCCCGGGATATACTGTTGCTCAATGAGCGCCCCATCAGGTTGGCCAACACTGACACCTTTAAGCAAGCATCCTGTCCGAAGTGAACACTTCATATCCAGAAGGTGAAAATAAAAAAAATCCCTTAAGTAAAACCAAGGAAGGAGCAGCCGCTAGCCGAGCGCCTCACCAGTTTCTCGATGAAGTCATCCACCGCCTGGCCGGCCTTGACCAGCAGGATGACCCTCCGTGGCTTCTTCAGCTTGGACACCATCTCCTTCAGGGACTGCGCGCCCACCACCTTGGTTCCCTTCGCCTCGTTGGCCAGGAAATCATCCACTTTGGAGACTGTCCTGTTAAAGGCACAGACCTAGAGGGACAGAGGGACAGATTAGGTATCTGGACAAACAGACCTTCAGACTATGCACCAAGTACCAGTGACGTCCTATACTGCCTGAAGTTCCAGGGAGGGCTCAAGCCGCCTCAGCGGGAGACAGAGCACAGGATCGAGCCAAAGGCCGTGTGTACCTAGTGGAACCCGTCACCGCTGGTGAGGCCTCACAAGCAAATCCAGGAAGCAGTGCTTCCACCGGGGCTTGGCCTCGGCTTCCACCTGACTGTCTTCCGCAGTGCTCAGAGCCTCAGGCGCCCCAAGCCAGCTCCTCCCTAAGCTGCGTCCCCAGTCCCTGGCATCTAAGCCACCTTAGTATCTAGAAATAACATTCAGAGATTGCTGGCGGCGGTGCCCACGGCCCGCAGTCCCCGCAAGTCAGGAGACCGAGGTGGGAGGACGGCTTGCGCCTGGAGCTGGACGCCGGCCAGGGCCACGGAGTGCGATCTTGTCTTGAGAAAAGATCTCACTGGGCAACAAGTCAGTGCTCTCCGCGGGCAGGACCTGACCTCTCGCCCCACTCAGCGCCACTTAAGGCTGGAAGCTCGCAGGAGTCTCCTTCCTGGAACTGCAGGGACGGCCGGCCACACCCGCGGCTAAAGCGGCTTCTTTCACACAAGTGCCACCGGCAGGCTCGGGGTGCGCGGGGCTGGAGGCGGGCGCGGCTCCGTGGAGCCCGGGACGGGACGCGTCCCCGAAACTCACCACGAAGCCGTGGTCATTCATGTTCAAGATCAGGTTCTGTCCCATGACAGCCAGGCCGATGAGCGCGACGTCGGCTCTGCAAGGCGGGGGAGAACAAAGGAAAGTGTCGGCCCTGCTCACGTCCCACCGACTGGGAAGCGGCCCCTCCGATCTGCGCCGGGACCCCCAGGGAGCCTCGGCGCGGCCGAACGGACCCAGCGCGCCCCGGGGCCCGGCGGACCCGC